GCGGAAACATCGTTTGGGTGAAATATGAACGTGTGTGCAATAAATTTATTCGGGCATTTTGGGTGCCGAGCGAATCTTTATTTCCACACAATGTGTTAGACAAATGTATACTTTTTTTTTTTGGGAACATGTGAAATTCAATGTATTTATGCAATAATTCGTTCTTGGAAATTGTGCACTCTCCCTTCTAATTCGCTGCGTATTTCTCGCTTTCTAATTCACTGTGTATTTCTTTCATCTCGGCATATTTCCTTCACATTGGCAACGAATGTGAATGAAAATTTACGCATGGTTCTCGGTATAAAGCAAACGACGAATGAATCTGCATGTTAAAACGACAGTAACAGATTTTATAGATTTTCTTTTCTTTGTTGTTTCTTTAAACAGCCAAAATATTTTGTATGTAAATTGGCGGGCTTGAAGATGTTGACGTTTACGAAACAAAAAGACAAACAATCCGTTTCGAACGAAAGTGAAGAAAAAAGAACACCGTCAAATTTGTGTGGAAAAAAGAATGGAAGAGCCAGAGTGTATGGAAACGGGCTATGGCAATCCGAGAACTCGTTAAAATAATTCGACAAACATTTCGACTGTTTATGTCTATACAACAACAACGACCGCGACAGCAGCAACAATAGCAGCAGCGGCAGCAGTAAAGGAGCATCCAAAAACAGCCCTCATAACATACGCCGCACATTTCGGTCGTTAAGCCATTTTTACACGCGTGCAAATATTCCGATATATATGTGTCTACTTCGACTCATCTGGGTACTAAAAATATTTCATAAAGAAAACACACATCGAGCGAGACCGAGCACACATTCACTCATATGTATGAACATAAAACGGTAACCATTTCAACATGGTGAACTTGAAATTCGAATGAAACACGTTATGCGATTAAATGGATTTTGGTTATGCCGTCGATTTTCTTAAAGTGAAATGCAAAAAAAAAACGAACACTGAAAATGTAGCAGCGGCAATCCATTCAATGGAAAAGAGAGAAGAAGAAGAGAAAAAAACTTCACATATTATAATAAATATAATACGATTGCAAATCGTTTACGTTCCGCACCAAGTTTCGTTGTTCGTTTGGGTCGGCACGATGCTCATTTCTTTCTCATGAACTACTGTGAATGAGAATGGGGGTAAAATATCACCGGGGAGACATTTAATCGATGCCATTGCATACTTGACTGTTCTCTGAGGTGGATCTCGAGCGCGCGCCTCTCCATCTTCGTTCATTTTATTATAATGTCGAGCTCTTTACAATAGATGAGCACATGCATACTTTTCATCAGGGACTGCTTCGATTAGAGATTAAATTAAATATTTAAATTGCATTTTTTTCTCATTCGCGCTGCTGTTTTTTTTTCGCTTCACTTTCTTTGGCGATGCATTGTTCATGCTCATTTTTGTGTGTGAAGCGATATTCAATATATGTTTTCTTTTAGATGTTCACACGTTCCCCCAGCGATACCATCGTTAACATCTGCATCACTTCAGATCAACCACGTATTTTGACTATTGATTAAAATAATGCGTTACGATGAAGAAAGAGAGAGAGAGAGAGAGAGAGAGAGAGAGAGAGAGAGAGAGAGATAGAGAGAGAGAGAAAATGTTGGAACCATTTCACATTCGAGAGGCATATTGAAAATCATACGCAGTTAAGAACACACATTATTATTTGGAATCTGCGAATTCGGAAATGCGATTTAAGCCGCTCGCACAAATGTTCCATTCGCAAGCAAAATGATTAAATTGAATGTCAAACCGAAGCTCTTTTTTTCGTTTTAAATAATATTTGTTTGCGAACGATTTTAAGCACCGGATTACAACACATACACATTCCATTCATATATGAAAGATTTAAACGATAAATCGATGCTTTTAAATAATGCAAACAGATGCGAACATTCAATAGAATTTTCCATGTTTACGATTTTCTTTTTCTTCTTCTGCTGACTTGCTGCGGAAATTCACGGAGAATGACGACATATGAATCGGTTGATAAGATTTTTCTTTCCATTTTTTGTGTGTGGAAATTGCTTAAGAGTTAGTAAGTGCTCGTTGAGTACTTGCTCAATGTAAATACGGGCTGCGTTTCATTCAGATGACCCGAACTGGATAAAAATGAGAAAAAATGAAGCCATTTGTGTAAGATTTTCGAAATCATTTCAGTATTTTTGACCGTACTTTCAAATGAGTTTCGATTGTTTTCGTTCGAAATTATAATTTCAATCAAAGCATTCTCAGTTGAAACTGGTCTTTTACGTCTCTACACACTTTTTTCTTAGATTGTGACAAAATTGAGTTTCTTTCGCCATGGCTATTTTTTACTTTTTGGCTAAATGTGTTAGTATTTTTTTTCCGAACAAACCAATATGAATGTAAGGTTCGATTCATTATTTTCTAATACGAGCTATGAAAGGAACATCAAACCTAAGAATTTATCTCTATCAACATATTTTCCGGCATTTTACTTTTCCGCAAACATCTAGGTACAAACCTGACTGTCAAACATGTGGCTCAGAACTGTAAGTGTCTTTAAAGTGGAAGAAAAATATTTATTAAATAATTTTGATTTTTATGTGCTGAAGATTGTTTCGTTCACACAGATGAAATCTGACGAAGGAGTTTGCAAACCTCAATCGGATTAGTGGTTAAGAAAAACGACTGCGGAGGCGGAATACATTTAGACTAATAAAAATTATCCTCGAGCCGAGAATATCAAGATTTTCTTTAGCAGCACAACAAGTGATGCGCTTATTTTTCTTGCAAACAATTTATTTTCAATATTAAAAACAATCTTCAAATAAATTACCAACGAAACAATGGGATGCGATGAAGAAAAACAATCGAGCGGGAAAAAACTCATCGGAAAATTGGCAATGAAATCGGTTTTACCAAATCCTGTAAATCGATGAAAGAGGGATGAAAAAACGCAAACATACAAAAGAAATGCCATCATTTTAATAATAAATATTGGTTTAAATAAAACATATTTTTTTATGCGAAATTGGCTGAATCATCGAAGAGCACAAAAATCAATTCTTTTATCCGGATTTGGAACATGTCTTGCGTTGCCGTTATTTTTTAATGTATTTCGTTTGAATTACACGGATATGTCGATTAATTTCTCTCGTGAGAAGGAAGCGGAACAATAAGCCGCGGCACATACACTGTGGTACAAAAATTACAACGCAATAATAAATGGCAATAATAATAATTGTTGGATAATGGTACGTACATTACATGGCAATCGAGTTTGGCCATATTCAGCATTTATGGGCTTTGCACTACAACCGAGATATATTTAAGAATCAACTGTGATAACAAAATTGGTATACGAACGGCAGTGCGAAAACAATAAAAGATTCACTGTGGAAAATTGTGACTTTTTTTTGAGAAATAATAAACGATTCACATGTTTACTTTTTGTTTCTTTTATTTAAAACCGATTTTAACATTTTTCTTAATTCTAATGTCAACTTATATGTTAAATATCGATAGAGAAGTTGGTCGCCATCAATGACTTCGTTTTTTTTTAGAATTTATTTAATTATTTCAAATTAATTTTATATCAGTTGTAGTAAAAAAAATTAATTCTTTCATCAAAATCGTTGAATTCAGTTAGCGATTGGTTTTTGTTTAGATTTGAAAATTACGAATTTAATTAATATGTTCAAGGAACAATATAATTTGAATGAAAAGAAAGAAAAGTATGTGGAATTTACCATAAATATCTTTTGTTGTGAATGTTGAACGGAGAAGAATGATCGATCTTCACTTCTTTTGGCGATGAACATTCTTCATGTGACGATTGGCGCTGCTTTGTAGTGAAAAGCGGGCATCGCAAAATTTGCATGCAAATGGCTTCTCGCCGGTATGATGATTCCGCATGTGGCTTTTTAGTTGAATTGCTTGGCGCACCGAAATGACTATGAATAAATAATAATTTGTCTGTGATTTACAATCAAAATTGAGTCGATAGAAGTAAATGTCAAGTGTTATAGCACTTCTATGTCTAAAACATTGAATGGTGCCAATGGAGGTTCGACAACAACAATAACATTACAGTCATCGTGATATGTGACACCATAATTGTTACAACGAAAGCATTACACCCGTCAATCTATCGGAATATGGTGATACTAATCTTATGTAAATGTGACGCCATCGAATTTTCCAGAAATAAAATTGAACAGAGCCAACATTTTCTGGACAAAATCTGAATTGATTTCGATTGAATAAATGTGATAAATAAATAAACCACCGTGGATTTCAAACTTTTTTTAATTGTTTCATTACTCATTAGGAATGTATTGCACAAAAATATTACATAACCTATAATTCATATGGCAATGTTGCGCCAACAAATTCTAGTCATTCTCATTTCAATTGTAATTAATTCCTCAAATTCTCTTCGTCGCGAAAATATTGAAGGCAATGACAGTAAAATATTAAAACACTCACTTTTGAGATATGTATTGAATTTATTTGTGGAAAATTGTGAACAATTCCTTAGTCAGTATGACACACGTGTTACTCCCTCCAATAGCTGCTTGCTTTTGACTCTTATGCTTTCAGTGTGTGCAATAAATTGACATTAATTTATTGGTATTATGCAAAATGACGTGTACTAATTTGCTTCGCTGATGTTGGCAATTCCAATGGTTCGAGATGAAGGTGGTCGTCATTGAATTCACGTCATTCAAGCATGAAAATTTATTTGAAAATAAAATTGATAAGAATTACGATTGAAATAATGAGAAAAGCGATTAATATAGAATATTGGTTTATTTGAGATAAATTTTAAGATTTAAATTGTAACAACATTTGTGAATTCAAATTGAATGAGACAATGATTTGATGAAGTAGACTTCAAGTAGTAATTGTGGAATAAAGTGTTGAATAAAATTCAGAGTGACAATAATTTTCATCAGACAATAAAACTATTGCAATACATTCGAATATGGAGTTTTGATTGATTTGTGTTTTTAGATTTGCTGATTCGAACGATGAACATTCTTCATGTGACGATTGGCGCTGCTTTGTAGTGAAAAGCGGGCATCGCACAATTTGCATGAAAATGGCTTCTCGCCGGTATGATGATTTCTAATGTGGCTTCTTAGTTGTATTGAATGTTGCATTAATACTTTGCAGATGTAACATTCATAATGACGACGTTTGCAGTGCTGTTCATGTGTATTCTTATCGCCTTCGTTTGCAAATCGACGATAACATTTGATGCAACGAATTGGACGCGGTTTGGCATGAGTAGCCAGATGTTTGTTGAGATCACCTTTGTGAATACATTTTTGCCCACAAACAGAACATTGGAATGGCTTGTGAACTGTGTGCTTTGAGTGCCTGTGATATTTCAAACGACGATTTTCGAAACATTTGAATGGGCAGAGATGACATTCGAATCGTTGACGTTTGCAAGGATCCTCATGCGATTGTTTGTCGTTTTCGTCAGCAAATCGTTGTCCACATTTTGAGCAGGCAAACGGTAGTTCTTCAGTGTGAGTGCGCAAATGTTGGCAAAGATTATATTTTTGTGCAAATGTTTTTGAACAAACGCGACATTGGAAAGGCTTCACATCACTATGGATTAGCATGTGTTTCTTGAAATCTGACAATTGATCAGTGGTGTATTTGCATACAACGCATTGGTATTGATGTTGTTGGCATTGATTATCGTGTTCGATCTTTTCGACTTCTTGTTTGAATCCACGACGACACTTTGGACAATGGAATGGAAATTCGGTAGCATGAACTTTCTTGTGTCGATTCAAACAACATTTTTGTGTAAAAGCCTTCGAACATATTTCGCATACGAAAGGCTTTTCCCCGGTGTGGATTCGGATATGTGCAATGAGAGTCGATCTGTGTGATGCGGCATAATTACACATATGACATTTATGTTTCTTCTCCTTCTTTTCAGCTGATTTCTTTGCACCTTTTGATTTACTTTCCTTCTTTGATCCTCTCTGTTTCTTTCCCTTGGAACTGCGTCCACTTTGTCCTTCGCCATTCAACTCGTTTTGTTCTGGATGAAATCGATTTCCATCATATCGATCATTGCCTTTGCGTTGATGTGAACCATCATTTGGTGACGATGAACAGCAACTTTTCTTCGTACTCATCTTCTTCGTCTTCACTCTTGATTTCTTTCTTCGCACAATCAAGATCGTATTTGCTACACACATCACTATCGCTCTCGCTCTCCGATTTGATCGTACATTGAGTCGCGCCAATCGGTGATGGTAGTGGTGGCGAATAATGAATCAATTCAGCGCCGTCTCTTGGCTCCTCTTTGACAATGATTTCTTCCTTCATTTCGACTTTTCGAGTGCTTCGTTTGCGCTTGCATCTACGTTTAACCTTTCCATCCAAAGTACCTTTGCTTGGGAATGGATTCATTGCCGTCTTCTTCAATTACGCGAAAAAAATAAAACAAAACAAAAGAAAATCCAATTAAAATATTTTGCTGTTGGAAATGTATATTATTCTTTCTGAAATTACCAGTTTTCTGAATTTATTTTTTTCTTTCGGTCAGAAATTCAATGTCAGAAACTTGTGACACCGTAATTGTCACAATGACAATATAATACTTTCCCCAATCTAGCGGAATGTGGTGAAACTAATCTAACGTTTCCTGTGCAAATGACGTCATCAAATTTTCCAAGAAAAAGAATGGAACAGAAATGCTGTGCACAAAGTCTGAATAAATTGTGATTAAATATATTCAAAGAAGAAGAAAATCAACTGAACTAAAATGAATTCCAAATGTTTTTTAGTTCTTTCATTGAGAATAAGTTGCACAAAAATATTTCATATCGTAATGTTCCATCACAGTCCACAACTAATTTTATTTATTTTGCTATTTCTATTAATTACTCAAATTCTCTTTATCGCGAAAACATTAGAGGCATTGATAATCAAAATTAAAAACACTCACCTTTGGAATATTGAATTCATTTGTGGACAAATCGAGAACAATTCCTTAGTCAGTATGACACACGTGTTGCTCCTCCCAATGATTGCTGGCTTATGACTCGTCTGCTTGCAGTGTGCGCATTTATTGGCATTCATTTATTGGCACCATGCAAAATGACGCGTACTAATTTGCTTCGATAAGGTTGGCAATTCCAATGGTTCGAATTGAAGGTGGTCGACGTCAATTGCCAATGAATTCAACAATTTTCAAATGAAAATGGTTTTGGAGCTACAATAATGCAAAAGAAATATTCATTCCATTTTAAATGTATTTTGATTGAAAGGAATTCTTGGATGTTTTAAATGGTTCAAATAAAAATGTTCTGACAACGGATCGATTCTTAAATTTCACATTTATTAATTGACTAGCCGGCCTCCGCTCGCTTCGCTCGCTACGGCACGCTCGCTCCGCTCGCTCGGCTAGACATTTTATTGTAATTCCTATCTCTGAAATTACTATTTCTATAAATTTTGACTTTATAAAATGTTGTTCATTCAATATTAATTTCAAATTCAAGTTATGGACCATGATGTCCGACCTTATTTCTTAACATGGGCTTCCAGCGTCGAAAATCGTTCAATTTTGGTACAATTGAATTAACCTCGAATGTTGAAAACTAAATCCAAAATAAACAATCATAAAAAACTAATCATTCTAATAGCAACCTCCCGAAAGTGTAAAAAAATGCTTTTTTTTGATAAAAATATTTTTTTTTTTTTTTTGAGAACATGATGGACCATGATGTCCGACCACATTTACCGTGTTAAATGGTGTTGGACCATGATGGACCGTGATGGCCGACCACAACAACCGTGTTAAATGGATTTGGACCATGATGGATCATGATTCTGACCTCATTTACCGTGTTAAATGGTGTTAGACCATGATGGACCATGATTCCTGACCTCATTTACCGTGTTGAATGAATTTGGACCATGATGGACCATGATTTCTGACCTCATTTACCG